CTGCACCATGTTGAAGAGGAAGTTGTAAGCAGCTTGTGTCATCGCTGCTAGATGAGTTCAGCTCAGAAGAGTTTGAAGAGTCCGGAACAAGTCGTCTGGCAACTTCTTCTGCTTGTATGTATGGATCATAGGCATTCAATTCCATACGCGGTCCACAGTCAAGTTCTTGGATTTTCTGCCTTGACTGAAAAATCTTGATCACCGTCGCAGGAATCCATTCAACTTGAAATGACGGTTCCACCCAACGACCATCAACTTCGTAGGCACAGTCATCTCCAGCCCATGCAAGATAGCTCTGGCTGTCGAACTCGGCGACAAATTCTGACACCTGTTTGGCCTTCGTCACCAGAACAATCTGCGTCAGAGTGGAGAGGCCTTCTGGACGGTATTTGACCAAGTATGGTATTTGTCTAGGTTGGCCTTGCCTTGCCACTATCAAGAGAGGAGCTTCTTGTACCAGTTGAACTCTCCCTAGAAAACCTCTTATGGGACCCCTCAAACTTGGCGAAAGCAATGGCTCTAACCATTGTCGAAACTCACGCTCATCTGTGATGGAGTGTAGTTCACATCTGGCTAGCACATCCCGAATAACAAACCCGTCACCTGATACGACCTGTATAGTGAACGTTTGCTGAACTGTAGAGAATGCTCTACGCAAACCACGCAGAATGGTATCAAGATCTGCAGAGAAGTCACGAATCGCCAGATCTAATACTGTCTGCATCAGACCAATTTCGTCCACTATCGCATCTCTTTCTGGTGTCTGCATTCCATGACCATGAACTGCAGACTGGTCACAGGAGTCTTCATGTAGCACTAGATCAAGTCTTTGTCCATCGGCGTCTATCGGCAGAACTTCATCATCAATTGGCATTCCTCCTAATTGGAATTTACACAAGACTCGACGACAGTCCCTCTCAAGACGCAACCATCGAATCACACTCTGCTGCGTGACAGGAGACGCAAACATTCCTGCCAGAAGAGTGTGCTTGTATGGCTCGATATGTGACCAATCCACACAGACCAGAATAGCAAAATGCCTTTCCACTGGTACAAAAAGGATCATGTGAACATCATCTAGTCCGAGTTGTTGATGCGGGGCAGGCTGGGGTTCTACCCACCATAACTTGGCTACATCTGCAAGTGGGAAGCTTTCTGCCACTCGCAGTCTAACCCAAGGCACTAGCTGTTCTTGATTCCAAGTGTTGTCCCAGACGAGACCGGCTGACTGTGGTTGGTGTCCGTCAGTAGGAATGTGTACGTGCAAGAACGTGCTTCTATATCTACGTTGCAACAGAAATTGAACTTCATCTCTAAAATGAGTCTGTGCATTGCAACTAGTTATTGCGGCCACTCTTCGCGTGAAAATTCTCCAATAGGCACGATTCCTCTCCGAAACCGGGACTTGTCGAGAATGCAGACGCCTTTCCTGAGAGTCTCTCCCATGGCGAATGAATCTTAAGAACCTGCGAGTCTCGAAGATGGCAGTGAATTGTTCAAGGAACAGGCTATGTATCGTGAGATCGATTTGAAAGAGGCTCTGTTCTTCAGTGCTCAGCTGACTGCCATTCTGCAACAGTGTCGTTCCAAGTGAAACAGCCTTACGCTTCCTGGAAACACCGGCACAAGAAATAGCACGACTCAACTTACAATAAGCACCTGCTCTTGCTACTACAATGTCCTCCCAATCAAAAATCACAAAATCATTTCCGTTCCAACAGGCCAATTGGCAATGATGATTGCAAAAGGCATCGAACTCTGTACCTAAGAAAATGTCACGAACCTTTGAGTTTCTCTCAGCCCAGACTCCACATCGCACCGTAATGTGCGCCATGACGTCCACCAAGAAAGGTCTTGCATGAATCAAATCATCTTCTCTGGGAATGATGATCAATTCCGGACCTTCTTGCGTATTGGAATGCATCTGTGCCATAAAGACAGTGACAAAGCTATTATCTCCCCTTGGGAGCCATGCAGCTAGCAATGCATTCTGCCAATTGAGAGCTTTATAGCAACTGATTCTTCTTGGTGTCTTATTGATTCTGTGCCACCTAGATACGAAATATGTGTCAAGCACCAAAGGATCCACCTCTGGTAATCGCACGGCAGACTCGGTCAGGAATGCCCTCAGGAGGTCTCCGACCTCTGCTTCACGTCCTAAAACCACTGCTCCGTGCACTGCTGCAAGATGCGATTGGAAGTCTGGAGTTCCACTTTCGCTTTCTTGTAGAAGTGGACCGAGAACACTCGCCTCTGACCTTTCCATTAGCGACATGACTTCGTGTTCTGCTTCGTGGTGGACTGTATTATCCTTCTTCCTTGTAGGTTGGATATCAGAAGACAAAGCATCAGTCTCGGCATGGATCCTAGCTCTCACACCTACAAAATCCAAGCAAAGGAAAATCAAGACTATTGCTTTCATCTGCCTTCTATTGATTCTACGATACCTATGTGATCGAGGTGCAGTTGGCTTTTTGGCTACTCTAAACTGACACCAAGTTTCCCAACATGCGTAAATACCTGACCCGAATAAGGCAATTAGTTCAAGGCAGCAGAATAGCAGTGCTTGTGCGATAACCTCATCTGCGAAGTCGTCGACATGACACTGCTCCCACCTAGAATCATTGACCCTAGAATGCTTCTCGAACGAACTAATTACTGGCCTTTCAAGTCTGGCGAGACATTGGGAAATATCGGAGGCACGAAGTAGCACAGAAAGCCTGGAAATGCTTCTTAAGCGTTCCCATCTTTGCGTTTCTCCATTATCGATATCTCTGGCTGTTTGTAGAGAAGGGCGGCAAAATGAGCCTTCACTCCAGCAGTTATAACTATCCGTCCGAAGGCATGCCTTCAAAAATGGCGCCAACGGACCATTCTGACAACAATCAGCTACATGAGAGCATCCCCATTCTTCATGGCTGAATATCACTTGGCCTCTGCTGGATCTACATCTGCCTTTTCCCCTTTTTCCTTCTTCTCCACAGCCTGCTTCAAGTGAGTCTGCCTGACTCCCTTGGGAGGCGATGCAGCACCTGCAGCTTTGCCCGGTCGAGGAATGACTCTTCGAAATGCCCTCAGAGCAGCTGCTGGTTCTACAGTTTTGTCTGCAACCAGCTCTTCCTCCATGTCTTCTTGCATTTCGTCGTCGTCTATGAGCTCCGATTCCTCGATCTTGCCAAGCATCTTCTGCATCTCCTCGAGAGTGGGAATTGCATCCCCCTCGTCTTCCACACTGATATTTGTCCTTAGTGCAGAAGCTACATGCTTCACCTGCGTCCTCAGCAAACTCAAATTCTCTGTTGCCTCGACAAGTGCAGCTTTGGCCTTCTCTCTGTCCCGTTGATAAACTGCCCATCGCTCTTGCATGCTGTTCTTCGCTTTTAATGCAAAGGCCTGCCAGTCTTTGTCGGCTTTTTGCACTTCCTGTTTGCAGAGCTCCACCTGCTTTTGGGCCTTCCCAAGTTTGGAAAGATGCCCATGTGTCAGGCGAGGACTCGATTCTCCTCTCTGCTCCAGGGTTTGAATCTCCTTTGCCAAGCTCGAAGTTGCTGCAGTCCCATAATAGCTTCTGATAGCTGCCAGGTGTTGCTGAATATCCACTGTGGCGGTATTGCCTTCTACCCCACCTGGAGGAGCAGGCGGTGGTGGTAGTCTCGGCGAGGGCGGTAATGCTGGTGTGGTCTGCGATCTCCCCTTGCTCTTGGCTTCCTTCCTGGGCGGAGGCGTAAAAGGATCTTGCTCTTTCCGCTTTTGAGACTTCGATCGATCTCGCTTCCAGTCTACTGCCGTATAGTGCTCTCCGCAGTAGAGACAATAGAGAGCTTTGGGGGCATTCTTCTGACCACACTGGCAAATCCACCTGAGAGGCATTGTGGATATCTGACCCGGCAATGAACTGCCGTGATGGCTCGAGATCCGATCTCGTGCCTTGTTCAAGCGATGCTTGAAAACCTTCCGACCTGTTACCCAGGCCTTCAAGGTTTTCCGCGCAGCTTTCCTCCTTCTTCTGCTGTTTCGATGCCACGTAGGCTCCTTCTGGATGGTCGTGGCCAGCAAGAAAGAAGGTCAAGATATACAGGACGATGAAGACCACCGTGTAAGTGCGAACCGCCGCTACCATGAAGGATACGACGGCCCTAAGGCTACCGGCTAGAGCTACCTAACACCGGAGGGGACACTTCCGGTGAAAGGTCAGAGCCGAACCTTAAGGCCTAAGAGTTACGAAAAACAAAAAACCTCCAAGTCCTTCAAGTTCGACAAGTGTTGATTCCAATCACGTAAGCAAAGCTCTAATTGCAAAAGGCACAGGCTCGTGACTGGAATAAGTTCTTTTTTGTGGGTGGCTGGCGTGGCCGGGTGCCTGGATGGCCGGATATGGCCGGGTGGCGGTGTCGGATGTATATCCAGCCATCCGTGGCCACCCGTCGCCACAAGGTCTGGGGGGGTAACAACTCCAAACCTTGCAAGCACCACCCCAGCACGCACCGTCAACCACAGCACAAAAAAAATGCCGTAGGGTCTTCTTGGGGTAGTGGTAGAATCGGACGAAATGAAAAAGACCAGGGACAAGCGGAAGCAAACGATATACGGCCGATATAGGTTCACGGAATCAAGATACAAGTGACGCCATCGCTTTGAGGAAAGCCTAGTCATGCGGGGCTCCCCCCCCGGGACCGGGAGGTAGGCCGCTAGGAGGTAGGTGAGGTAGGGATGTAGTAGCGTAGGTAGGGAGTCGCTAGGAGGTAGGTGAAGGCAGGTTTAGTACCTACAAGTAAGCTCATACATGTGGACGCGATAGCTCACGCTTCTTCAAGGAAGCTATTCATTAGAATTCTAATTAAATTCTTCTTGTTACTAGTAGTAAGGCACCTGTTACTAGTAGCTTCTTGTTACTACTAGCGTGGCACTTGTTACTAGTAGCTTCCTACCTTTGGTTCCTAGATCTTTTGAAATAGTGGGTTCTTACCATCCATCCGAGCCCTACGGGCCGACAGCCCTTCCTCTTCCTCCGAGACATCGCTCAAGTTAATCATCTCCTCGCTCCTTCGGTTGTGCTTCCACTGCAGAAAATAGAACAAGCAGCGTGAAAAATACTTGGAATATGTTCTTTCTTGCATTCATGACACAGCATTCTGCATTCTACGTGAAGCGACGCAGCATTCTACATGTCAAGGACTCCGTGCTTCTGCTAGCTGCTAGACTGACATGTTAAAAGAGCAGTCAGCCTGGGAGGCTCACTGTTTGCTGGACCATCAACAAGCCTTTGATGCAAGAAAACGAAGTGCAAGCCTTCTCTTGTCATGTCATGTCTCTTCCTAGTACCGTCCTTGTTACTACTAGTAAGGCCCTTGTTACTAGAAGCGATGCACTTGTTCCTAGTAGCTTCTCTGCCGAGTCTCATGATAATGCCGCCCAGCACGGTCAGGGAGCTACTGAACAGGCCCGTCCTGAAGAACGTGCGAGCGAGACTAGACGAACCCACGCTGAGAAGACCAAGTCGACCGGACCAAGACGTCACTTGCTTCCATTCCTCCAGCCTCGGCGATGGAGCCTAATGTAAGCCTCTAGGCTATAGCCTATTTTTGAGGGCTCACGCTTGCACTCATTTGGTTCGGTTAAGACGAAACAAAAAGCTTCACTCCAAAGCCCGGTACACAGCCAAGCCCGTAGCGACCTGGGCACTTTGCTTTGAAATCGCTTTCAAATTCGAAGAAGACTACAATCAGTGTGATCGACTGTTCTTCCGACTTCGTTGAAAAAGGAAAACAGTCTGAAAGGAAACATCTAATAGTTGCTTTCTTTCTGCTTTCCTTTCTCAACTCAAATCCGAGATGGGACCTGAAACCCAACACAGACCGACACAACAAAAACACCGCTGAGCGACGCTCACGAAGATGTTCATGACGGTGCTGGTTGGGATGAAGAGCAAAACATCACACCTGTGGCAGCCGATGATGGTTCCTGCTCGCATGCCCACCTGAACGGCGAAGCCGAAGCCCTAAAGATTGTCTGCGACTTTGTCCATCAAAATGTCCAAACTGTACAAAGGAAAAAAACGAAGAAACAAAAGTAAAAATATATGCACATATCACACTTACATACATAGGTGCATGTAAAAATTTTGAAACATATAGTTACTAGTTCCTTCTTATGTCCAAACTTAAATGCGAGTCGCCAAGAAAATCACGTTGGTGATGACGGAGAGCCAGAAGAGTGCCGACTGCAACGCAGCGGCCCTAGAGAGACCAGAGCGATGAAAAGCGACAGCTAAGCAAGGCCAAGTAGCTAAGTAGCTCTTAAGTAGCTAACAAGCAGATAGGAGCTAAGTTTTGCAAGCGACAGGTGAGCTACTAGGTAACAGTGACGGCTCTAGTGACTGCTCTAGCGAACAGTATTGGAGTCTCCCTCTTTTGGCGCTCTTAAGACTTTAAGGCTGAGGCGGTCCCTCTTTCAAAGCTGCAGCCCAGCCCTTCGCAGCCACATCCATTTCTGCGCTGCTGCATGATGTCACCAGACAGACAGCCAGCACCTCCAACGCACAGTGCGGCGGACGCAAACAGCGCTCTGCTGCTCAGCTCGGCCCAGACCTCCATCAACTCTTTACTGCAGCAGTGCCTCGTTCAAAGCGAAAGCTAGTAGTTTCTTGTTACTAGTAGTACTGGCCTCCAACCTAATAGCGATGGCCTCCACCTAGTAGTGTCCTTGCTACTAGAAGGGGGAGAGCGGGCTTTAAAAAATGTGTTCAGCTCGTCTCCTCACCCTCCTCACTCTCCTTGCTCTCCTCTTTCTCGTTTCCAAGCCCTCAGCTTCTTGACATCCTCACTTTCCTGAGAAAGCGAATGCAAAAGTCATTTGAGAAGGATGCCGACTCCATTTGGTTGGAGGCCATCGCTTTCAGAAGTTTAAAAGTCATTTGAGAAATCGGAAAATGCAAAGGCTGCCCAGCCTGAGATTCTCCCTCGAGCTCGGGTTGCTCGGGTTGCTCGGGTTGCTCCGGTTGCTCGTGCTGAGCTGTGCTTTTCACTCTTCGGATCTTCAAGCGGCCTCAGAGCGAAGGAAATGCACAGCCGAGAAAGAATGAAATCAGACAACAATTGACTCACTCTGTCACTCTGTATAGGAAAAGATTTAAGAACGGAAAGGCGTTTAAGACATGTTTTAAGGCAAAAAAAAGTTTAGGGTTTTTCGTTTGGACTCTGGCGAGTAGAGTCTCGGAAGCTCGGCCAGCGCCCTGTGGAGTTGCAGTTGTGGGAGTGGGCATCGCTACGGGCTCCTGGCCTTACTAGTAACAAGTGCCTTACTACTAGTAACAAAAAGATTTTAAATGGAATTGTAAATACTAGGAATCTACTAGGACCTTTTCGCGCGCGCGCGGGGGGGGTAGGAAGCTACTAGTAACAAGTGCATCCCTACTAGGAACAAGTGCCTTACTAGTAGTAACAAGTGCCTTACTAGTAGTAACAAGTGCCTTACTAGTAGTAACAAGTGCCTTACTAGTAGTAACAAGTGCCTTACTAGTAGTAACAAGTGCCTTCCTAGTAGCAACAAGTGCCTTACTACCAGTAACAATAAGAATTTAATTAGAACTGTAATTACTAGCAAAGGAATCTACTAGGACCTTTTCCTAGAAACAAGAAGCTACTAGTAACAAGTGCATCGCTACTAGGAACAAGTGCCTTACTAG